ACAACACTGTAAATGGAAAGACATTCCATATTTAGGGATTGGAAGATTTAATGTTGTTACAAAGATATTATCACCTAAAGCAACCTACAGATTCAATGCACTCGGTATCAAAATTCCAGTGATGTCTTTTGCAAAATGGATCATAGACCTAAACATAAGAACTAAATCAATAAAACTCTTAGAAGAAAACGTAAGAGAAACTCTTCATGACAATGCATTTGGCAATGATTTCTCGGCAATGACACCAAAAGCACAGATAGCAAAAGGAAAAGTAGGTAAAATGAACTTTACAAAAATTAAAAATAAAGAGAGACTTCCTTGCTGGCCCAGTGGTTAAGAATCTGCCTGCCAATGCAGGAGACCTAGTTTCAATCCCGATACATCACCGACTCAATGGACATGAGTTTGAGCAAAATCCAGGAAATAGTGAAGGATAGGGAAGCCCAGTGTGCTGCAGTTCATGGGATCACGAAGAGTTGGACATGACTTAGTGACTGAACTACAACGGAAGATTCCACATGCCTCGGAGCAACTAAGCCTGTGTGCCACGACTACTGAGCCCATGCTCTAGAGCCTGGGCTCGGCAGCTACTGAAGCCACTGCAATGAGAAGCTCATACTCCAAAACTAGAGAGTAGCCCCCACTCACCAAAACTAAAGAAAGCTCATGTGCAGCAACAAAGACCCAGAGCAATTAGCCATAAAAAAGAACGAATTTGAGTCAGTTTCAGTGAAGTGGATGAACCTAGAACCTGTTTTACAGAGTCAAATAAGTCAGAAAGAGAAAAACAATTATCATATATTAACGCATATATATGAAATCTAGAAAAATGGCATTAATGAACCTATTTGCAGGAAAGTATGGAGGCACAGATATAGAAAATAGACTTGTGGACACAGTAGGGGAAGGAAAGAGTGGGAAGAACGGAGAGAGTAGCATTGACATATATACATTACTTTGTATAAAATAGATAGCTGGTGAGAAGTTGCTATATAACACAGGGAGCCCAGCTTGGCACTCTGTGATGACCTAGAAGGGTGGGGCTGGAGGAGGGGAGGGACACTCAAGAGAAAGATGATATATGTATAATTATGGCTGATATGTGTTGTTGTATGGCAGAAACCAACACAACATTGTAAAGCAATGTTCCCCCAATTGAAAAATAAATTAAAAAAAAAACAATGCAGCCGTTAAATAAATAAATCTTTAAAATGAGAAAATGAAAAGAATGAAAAGGAAACCCACAGAATGGGAAAATAATATTTTCACCAATCATATATCTAATAAGCGATTAATGTCAAGAATTTATAAAGAAGTTCTACAACTTTTTTAAAAACCAGAAAATGAGTATTGGGGAGAAATTCGAATCCTTGCACATTGTTTCTGGGAATATTAAATGGTGCAGCTACCATGGAAAAGAGTCTTGGGTTTTCTCAATTAAATATAGAATTACTGTATGATGCAGTAATTCCACATCTAGATACACACACACACAAAAACACACACACACACAAAATGGAAAGCAGGGACTTGAACAGAAGACATACGTTCACCAAGGTTCATGGCAGCATTAGTCACAACAACCAAAAGTGGAAATAACACAAAATATCCATTGGTGGATGAACAAACAAACAAAATGTTTTATATATATATAATGAAATCCTTATTCACTCGTTAAAAGAATTTGGAGGTGATGATGACAACTGTGGCCATGGTCCTGGTTATAGTAGTGGAGAAGGCTATGGTGGTGTTGGACCAGAATATGGTAACCAAGGTGGTGGATATGGTGGTGGTGGTGGAGGATATGATGGTTACAATGAAGGAGGAAATTTTGGAGCTAACTATGTGGTGGTGGAAACTATAATGATTCTGAAAATTATAGTGGACAACAGCAATCAAATTAAGCCCCATGAAAGGGGGTAGTTTTGATGGAAGAACCTCGGGCAGTCCCTATGGGGATAGTTATGGATCTAGTGATGGAAGTGGTGGATGTGATAGCAGAAGGTTCTAAATACTCAGAAGAAAAGGGCTACAGTTCTTAGCAGGAGAGAGAGCAAGGAGTTGTCAGGAAAGCTGCAGGTTAGTTTAAGACAGTTGTCCCAAATGTGTTAGAGGAAGTAAAAATCTGCCACAGAAGGAACGATGATCCATAGTCAGAAAAGTTACTGCAGCTTAAACAGGAAACCCGTCTTGTTCAGGGCTATCATAGCAACAGTTTGCAAAAAGTGCAGCTATTAATTAATGCAATGTAGTGTCAATTAGATGTACATTCCTAAGGTCTTTTATTTGTTGTAGCTTTGTCTCTTTCTTTTCATTACATCAGGCATATTGCCCTGTAAATTGTGGTAGTGGTACCAGGAATAAAAAAAAATAAGGAATTTTTACCTTTAAAAAAACAAAAGAGAAAAATTTCAGTACATGTTACAACACAAATGAACCTGAAAACAGTATACAATGAAAAAAGCCAGATACGAAAGAATAAATAATGTACAATTCCATTTCTTTATACAAGGTACCCAGAAGAGTCAAATTCTTATGGACAGAAAATACAATAGACATTACCAGTGGCTTGGGGCAGGGGAGTTTGGGCAGTTACTGTTTAGTAAGTCCAGAGTTTCAGTTTGGGATGATGAAAAAATTTCTAGAGATGGATAGAGGTGATGGTTGCACCACAGTGTAAGTATACTTTATGCCACTGAGTTGTACACTAAAACCAGTTAAAATGGTAACTTTTATGTCATCTGTATTTTACCAGAAATTTTTTAAAAGTCAGGGTGTTGGCAGAACTGTGTTCCTTTCTGGAGGCTCTCCATTAGAGTTAAATCAAGATGCCCATTCTTGTTGAATACTGATGTCATGGTCAGCACTCAGATTTGCCTGCAGTGCCAGCCTGAGTATTCACAGTGCCAGGGACTAGTTTATAATAGCAGTAATTGGGGATTAGATTTAGATAAAAGATCCCTTTTAAGACTTTATAAACAACCTACAAATAGGGAAACAGTAGAAACAGAGGCAGACTCTATTTGGGGGGGCTCCAAAATCACTGAAGATGGTGACTACAACCATGAAATTAAAAGATGCTTGCTCCTTGGAAAAAAAGTTATGACCAACCTAGACAGCATGTTAAAAAGCAGAGACATTACTTTGCCAACAAAGGTCCGTCTAGTCAAGGCTATGGCTTTTCCAGTAGTCATGTACAGATGTGAGAGTTGGACTATGAAGAAAGCTGAGCACTGAAGAACTGGTGCTTTTGAACTGTGGTGTTGGAGAAGACTTTTGAGAATCCCTTGGCCTGCAAGGAGATCCAACCAGTCCATCCTAAAGGAAATCAGTCCTGAATATTCATTGGAAGGACTGATGTTGACGGTGAAACTCCAATACTTTGGCCATCTGATGCGAAGAACTGACTCATTTGAAAAGACCCTGATGCTGGGAAAGATTGAAGGTGGGAGGAGAAGGGGACCACAGAGGATGAGATGGTTGGATGGCATCACCAACTCAATGGACATGAGTTTGAGTAAACTCTGGGAGTTGGTGATGGACAGGGAGGCCTGGCAAGCTGCAGTCCATGGGGTCACAAAGAGTTGGAGATGACTGAGAGACTGAACTGAACTGAATTGAAAACAACCTGCAGCCAGGACTGTATCTTTCATGATGTGTCTCTCCCTTCCCCACCATCCAGGGTCTACATAGAGTAGATATCCAGCAGGTACTGGTTGGACTGGATAGAAAAATGTAGGAGTATAAACAGAAAAGCTGGTGGGGTCTCTGAGCCCCAGAGCCCCAGAGGAGGGGCAGCAAGCTGCTGGAGCCCAGGCTGGTTATGATCCCCAGGAAGGAGACCAGAAGGAAGGAGGAAGTCCAGGGCACAGCAGGCAAGCCAGGGCGCCCCTTCACTGTGTGATCCTGAGGCTGCCTGGACCACCAGTAACACAGGTAATACAGTTCCAGATGTATAGAGTGAAGTAAGTCAGAAGGAGAAAAACAAATATTGTATATTAAAGAATATATATGGGATATAGAAAATGATGCCTATGAACCTATTTGCAGGGCAGGAATAGAGACGCAGATGTAGAAAACACACTTGTGGACATGGCCAGGGGGAGAAGTGGGATTGATTGAGAGAGTAACATTATCATATATATGCTACCATGTTTAAAAAAATACAGCTAGTGGGAAGGTGCTGCATGGCACAGGAAGCTCAGCCCGGTGCTCTGTGATGACCTTGAGGGGTGGGATAAGGGCGTGTGGTGGGAGGGAGGCTCAAGAGGGAAGGGCTGTATGTATACACGCAGCTGATTCACCTTGTTGTTCAGCAGAAACTAACAACATTGTAAGGCAATTATACTCCAATAAAAAAGAAAGAAAACTTCCAACTGAGAAAAGATGAGATTTGCATAGCCTCTTTCCAGCCCCCAGCTCATGCCTCTTCATTTTAGTTTCAGATACAATCAACTCTAGGAGATGTCCTGGTCAAGAGGGGTGAGGGAGAAAATCCAAGAATGGCCAAGGGGAGATGGAACCACACTGCAGTTGTCCTGCCCTCTTTCCTGCCCACCCCTCCTCACCCATGGGACCAGCCGTCTGCCCACCAGGCCTGGAGGAGCTTTCCTATCCAAGAATCAAGCCATTATATGTAAGGTTTTGCTTTCAAGTGGCCTTTTATAGACCGCTCAAGCAATGGGTGTGGTGAGACAAATGAATACCAATGAGAAAGGCATGTACTTTGCCAAGGAAATTGAGTTTATTAGGTTACAAGGGAGGGTTGCTGACACGTGGGCAGGCTCTCTGGACAAGCCAAGAGGAAACAGTCCTCAGTGAAGGAAAGTGTGGGCAGGGATCATCTGGAGGAGGTCAGGTGAGCTTCTGGATTCCCCCCCTGGGGCAGCTCCAGCCATGCACATTGTGTTTTCTGGCTTGTTTGGTGGAATGAACCAGAGCCAGGTCATAGTCCAGAACCCTGGGCCCTGTCTCCTTGCTCCTCGGGGAATCTCTGGACTCTAGCGCACGTAGGAGTTGCAGGGCCCACAGCGGGAGCGGGGGACACAGGGCGTGCAGGGGGCAGCAGGAACGCAGGGGGTGCAGGGACTGGAGATGCAGGGTGCGATGGTCTTGCCGCATGCATTGGTCGTGGCACAGGGATTGCAGGGCAGCCTGGAGAAAGGGAATGATATAAATTGAGGGAGGCTTGTGATGTAACCAGAGAGACCCCAAGAGTGGACTGCCCATTGGGACTTGACCCGACCTATAACAGAGAAGGTCACAGGCTCACCTGATACAAAGCTCACTATCAATGTTAATGGCCTCCCTGTCATATGCTATCAAAAGTGCTGGACAGAGACACAAAAACTCTGGTCTCAGCTCCCAACATTGTCCATTCCTAGTTGGTGACCTTGGATAAGTCACTAAACTTCTTCAAGCCCCAATCCCTTCATCCATAGAATGATGAGAATACTGATCCTGTCGGCCTCATGGTTAACTCTAGCAGCAAATGAGGTAGCATTTGGAAACATACCCTCTACACAGTATGGTATTACAAAATGTAAGAAATGTCATTGATCACATATCAATATAATCACAGTAGATTGCAGAGTTGGCTGTACAATTTCAGTGTATCCCTCAAGCAGTTCATGCCATTTTATGTTTTAATGTTAACCACATTGCTTTCTGAGCTCTGTTTGAGCATGTCTGGTGTGAAGGCATAATTTCCTCTCCAAAGTATGCAGTCTTTGCCTGGAGTCCAACTAAGAAGTACGCCTATGTGTGCATGGCTTCACAAAACACCTGCTCGGTACTCACTTGCAGTCCTCACTGTCCAGCAGCCCCCGGTACGTGTTGATCTCACACTCCAGCCGGGCCCGCACGTCCAGCAGCACCTGGTACTCCTGGTTCTGCCGCTCCAGGTCACTCCTGATCTCCGCCAGCTGTGACTCCACGTTGCCGATCAGGCCCTGCACCTGGGCCAGCTGGCAGCTGTAGCGGGCCTCCGTCTCCGTCAGGGTGTTCTCCAGGGAGTCTCTCTGTCAGGGGGAAAGGGGAGGAAGGTCACAGGGCTGCTCCTTCAGGGGCTTCTCCATCACTTCCAAATAAGTCACAAGCTCTAAGAGCTCAGGAGAGGGTGGCCTGGAGGGCATCCCAGTGCCCCTGACTCCCCGACCTCACCTCCTCACCAGGAGTCTCATCAATACCCACCAGGTTGTGCTGGGCCTGCAGTTCCACCTCCAGGGCATTGACTGTGCGTCTCAGCTCGATGATCTCCGTCTGGCAGGACTGCAGCTGCTCTGAGCTGGACACCACCTGCTTGTTCAGCTCCTCAGTCTGAAACACCAAAGGGCAGAAGACAGGATCAGACCCCACCTGAAGGGCCCCAAGGAGCTGAGGATCCTGAGAGACCACGTGCTGAGCTGCTCACCTGCCTGATGTACCATTCCTCCACGTCCCTGCGGTTGGTCTCCACCAAGGCCTCATACTGAGCCCTGGTCTCGTTGAGCACGCGGTTGAGGTCCACAGTGGGGGCGGCGTCCACCTCCACGTTGAGGCGGTCTCCCAGCTGGCTCCGCAGGGTGTTGACTTCCTGTGGATGCAGAAAATGCAAGAGTGACTGTCCTCAATGAAGAGTGGAACCTAAGAAATGGCACTGCTTGTTGACATCCTATTCATCTATTTCCTTGGAAAAGGAACTTCTAGTAGAACAGCTATGACAGCAGAAGGTAAAATGGTCTGTGTTCCATGTGTTCAGCTCCTTCCCACCATGACTATGTCATGATCCTTGGATTCAAAAAAAATTTCCAGGGGTTTGCTTGGGGGCTATTCAAGGATGTATAAATGGCCAAATTTCCCAGGTTGTAGATTGGTGGCAGATAACCCCATAAATAAAAATAATTGGCTGTATAATTCAGATTGTATATCAAACCATTCTTGCCATCAAGTAAGATATTGTCATGAGACAGAAGGAACCCTGGATCATTTTTCATCAAGACTTTGAAAGAATAGACTTTGATTCACCAGGACTGATATTTTGGCTTTGGGGAAGAGAGATGGCTTCGAATGGCATATCAGAGCAGTGCTGGGACTTCTACAAATCAGCAGCCAATCACAAGCCCAGTGAGGTGCCCTAGGAAACTAAAGTGGTGCCCCAATTTCAAGTGAAAGATACAGCTTATCTGGGAACATGGATAGGTTTCATCTCCCAATGTTTTCTTTCATCATGAAATTTTGGTGTTTTCAAAGAAATCTGAAAGATTCTTATCCCTGATTCCACCACCCCAAGTCATTAAAGCCGCCCTAGGCCTGAGGCTGAGTCAGGCTTCTTCATTTCTCATCTCTGGTCTCACCTCCTCATGGTTGCTCTTGAGGCAGATTAGCTCCTCCTTCAGGGACTCCACCTGGGCCTCCAGGTCAGACTTGCACAGGGTCAGCTCATCCAGGATCCTACGCAGGCCGTTGATGTCTGACTCCACCAGCTGCCGCAAGCCCAGCTCTGTCTCATACCTGCACAAGGACAGGGTCAGAGCGGTAGCTAGCAGACCCCAAAGGCTCACAGGAATGATCTTGGATAACCCCAATCACCTTGCCTTCCCCCTTCGGCAGTGAGTAGACCCAGGAGACAGAGGCAGGGTGCTGGAGGCTCAGTCAAGACCCAATATTGATCCCGAAATTGACTTGAGTCCTCATCTACTTTTGTGCCTCCTTTGTTTGGTCCCCCCAATCCTCTGCAGACTCCTTCATGATTGATGTATTGACTGCTGTTCAGTCAGCCATGGAAAACCCTCTTCTTTCATGAGAGACTGAACAAAAGGAGCGGGCACCCATGCAAAATCTGAACCACTTACTTGGTCCTGAAGTCATCTGCGGCCAGCTTGGCATTATCGATCTGCACCACCAGTCTGGCATTTTCAGACTTGGCACACAGGATCTGGGGAATGATAGGTTGCTGGGTGAGGACTGGAAATAGCTACAAAATCATTAACTTCTTTCAAAATGCTTATAAAGCCATTTTGAAGGTAAAAGGAGGAAGTAAGAATCAAGATGGCCTAGATGCAAGAAACACAGTTCTCTCCCCCAGACTGAGAATCCTGGTGCTTGCCCCCTGCTTAGAGATGACAGCAAGGCCCCTCACCTTCTGCTGGAGCTCCTCAATGGTCCGAAAGTAGGACTGGTAGCTGGGGCACAAGAGGGGCTCCTGCTGCTGGCTCCGCTCCAGGATGCGGCTCTCCAGCTCCGCGTTCTCCCGCTCCAGCTGCCGCACCTTCTCCAGGTAGCTGGCCAGCCGGTCGTTCAGGAACTGCATGGTCTCCTTCTCATTGCCATTGAAGGAGCCCTCGCAGAACCAGTTGCAGCTTCCCACATTGGCAGGGATGTTGCAGGCCCCGGGCAGGGTGGTGCCACAGCAGCTGGGGGGCACGCAGGGCCTGGAGGAGCAGCTGGAGCGGAAGCTCAGGTTGGGCAGGCAGAAGTTATAAGACATGGTACTGGAGGGAGAGAGATGTCCAGCTGAACACAGAGTCCAAGTTCTCCAAAGAGCTTGTGAGCCTTCTGACTCTGTGGAGCATTTATACCCCATCCCCAGAGGGTGTGGATACAGTATGTAATGTCTTTTTTCTTTTTATTTTTTTCACTGCTTTTCAAATTCCCTTCCCTTCAATCTGTTATTGGCCTTCCTCAGAAGAGTCCCTTGTCCCATAAATTTTTTTACTTGGCTTCCTGTTAAGTCAGAACTACTCTTCAGGCTGTGCACCCATGAAATCAGAGTCCTGCGGTAGACCTTCAAAGAAGCCACACGGTCTAGCCCGAGGATCTGCCCTTGTTAATTGGGAGTTAGTCCATCCAATGACATTCTTTTGTGTTACGTGATCTGGTAAAATCATGATCAAATTCGCCTCCTGGCCCACCTGGCATTTCCAGGGAGGGACTAGGATTGAATCAAGGAACAAGTTGCATTAAGGGTCAGAAATGGGTTCCCTTTCCATCTGCTTTGAGACAAGAATCCTTCAATGATGTAGCATCCAAGCCATAGAAGACATGAGGTGGATGAGAGTTGACTCGGGCCACAGCCAAGAAGGATATTTGTGTAATGCCACCTGCCTACCACCCAAAAGGACTGTAAAAGGGAAAGAATCTAAAAAAGAGTGGATATATGTATGTGTGCAGACATGCTCAGCCACTTCAGTAGTGTCCACCTCTTTGTGATCCTAAGGACTGTAGCCTACCAGGCTCCTCTGTCCATGGGATTCACTAGGCAAGAACACTGGAGTGGGTAGCCTTGCCCTCCTACAGGGGATCTTCCAGACCCAGGGATCAAACCTGGGTCTCCAACATTACAGGCAGATTCTTTATGGCTGAGCCACTGGGGAAACCTGGATATATGTATATGCATAACTGATTCACTTTGCTGTATAGCAGAAATGAATGTAATATCATAAAGCAATTTCCCTCCAATTAAAAAAATAAATTTAAAAAAGTAATAAATTTTAATTAATTAAAAAAATAAAATTTAAAAAGGTCTGTAGAGAAGGGAGTCCCCTGGAAGCCCAGTGGTTAAGACTCCACACTTCCATTGCAGGGGCCATGGGTTCAATCCCTGGTCAGGGAACTAAAATCCTATATGCTTTGAGGTGTGGCAAAAGAAAAAAGGACTGTAGAGGAATTTTAAAGATAGAGGCTTTGATAATTAGTTTGAGAATGAGAACAAGGAAGATTCTGGAAGAAGAGATCATTTAGAAAGAAGGCTGAGAAAATGCAAGCTGAGAAATCTATATAAATGCATTAAAACTAAGGAAGTCTCTGGAGGCAGGTGTGAGAAAGGAATACGGCTAGGCTTGCAAAACTTTTCCAGTGAGGTATCTAGCCATTGTGTTAAAATAGAGTAAGTGGTAAGTCTAGGAGATGGTCCAAAGGAGCCCCTCAAGCATGAGAATTTCATGTTGGCTTTAACAGAAAATGTTTTAAAATTTCCAGTTAGACTTTCTAACGCTTTGCCCAATTCTCCAAGTATAATTGACATGCCAGGAAGATGCATAGTACCCTTTCCCAGGCTCCCACCATCAGCCTTACTGGGTTACCTGCTACCTGGTTTAAGAACCAAAGGTTGAAAGGTGCCAAGGGAGGGGGCTCTGTGGTCATGACATTGAATCCAAGGACCTGGGTACCCAGGA